ATGTTGCTGTTGAAGTTGAATTGCCTAAGAATTTGAAAGCTCTACACCCTGTGTTCCACATGAGCTTGCTAAAAAAGGATCCTGGTCATTGTGCATGGAGGCCTGCCCATACCCCTCCCCCTCCCATCGTGTTGGAGGGTGCGGAACATTTTGAAATTGATGACATTCTTGATTCCAGGTTGAAACGTGGTAAACTTTGGTATCTCATCCAGTGGGTTGACCGGACCCCAGCTCTGCGAATGGGTGGAAGTAGGGGATATTCGGGCCCCTTATCTGCTTCAGGAGTTCCACAGACAATTCCCGGGCAAACCGGGAGGTCTCCCGGAAAATCTCCCGGGCTAGCCGGGAGGTCTCCCGGATCTTCCGGGAGGTGGTGGTTATTGAGTATTTTCGAGGGGGCAGTATGTCAGCTAGCTGCCATTGTCATTCCGTTTCCTGTGTAGTATCCTTCACCCCCCCCTCTCATTCCTTGTTTGCTTGAGTTATGTTATGTAGTCCGCGGAACTCGCCAAGGTCGTGCAGCTGGTTGTAGGAGGAGAGCTTCGCCTAGAATGTTTTGGGTATCTCGCATGTGAACTGAACCTGTGTTGACATTATAGAACTGTTGCGTTCCCATGCAAAGGGCGCGAATTGTATGTTCTATTCCCGCCAGCGGGAACTGGGCTCATTGGTCCTTACCTGGTTCAAATGTCTATATTATGCCTTCCCTGGTTACCTGTAGTTATTCCTAACAATGTCCTGTTCTGGTTAAACTAACGCTTTGAAACAAACCTTGCTTTGCTTTTCAACGTGGAGTTATTTTGAATGCTTGGGATCCAACACATGGCAGCTAAAGGCCTAGCTGACACCAACATGAATGAATGAATGAATAAATACATAAACGAACTATTTATCCAAGGAGGAGGGAGAGAGTTGGGCTTATACCCTGACCTTCATTCGGAGTCTCAGAACGGCTTACAATCTGCTTCCCTTCCTCTCCCCTGTGAGGTTGGTGGGGCTGAGGGAGCTCTGAGAGAATTGCTCTTGAGAGAACAGCTCTGAGAGAACTGTGACTGACCCAAGGTCAGCCAGCTGGCTGCAGGTGGAGGAGGAGTGTGGAATCAAACCCGGCTCTCCAGATTAGAGTTTGCTGCTTTGAACCACTACACCAAACTGGCTCTTTTAACTGTATTAGAGACCAACTTCCTTCAGGCTTGCTGGGGCCTACCTCTGCCAGGTCCCCCTGCCTAAATATGGAGAACGTGATTTGTCCTTAAACGGGGACCTCAAAATAAGCTTAAGTAGCGTGAATGCTACATACTCTGAGGTGCAGTTTGGCAGTATCAGGAATCCAAGCCGCTCGCCTGCTGCAGCACCAGGAGGCAGCACCTTTAGGAGCTGGGTGACGATCCCTGCCTTGCATTGCGGCAGCAGATCCTGCAGCCCTGGCTTCCGAGAACAAAGCGGAGCCCAGGATCAGAACAGGGTCCCTGCTGAGGCTGCCCCCCGCCCCCCCCCCGTGCTGCTGCTGCTTTTGTGCCTGGAAGGAGGGGGGGGCTGCCCGCACGGGGGCTGGGAAACACCTGGCAATTGGGGTGTGTGTGTGTGGGCGGGGTTTGGGGAGGGGAGGGTCCTCAGTGGGGGCGTGATGCCACAGAGCCCACCTTCCCAGGCGGCCATTTCCTCCAGGGGAACTGATCTCTGTCGCCTGGAGACCAGTCGCAACCCCATGAGATCTCCAGCCACCCCCTAGTCTGGCCAGCAGGAAGTCAGCGGCTGACACTTTGGCTGCCCCACTCACCATCGCTGCTAGGGGTGTCCACAGCAGCCGTTTTCTCCAGGGAGATTGGCAACCCCAGCAGGGCCTGTGATTTGGTGACTGATAACCCTTCCAAGTACTGTTTGTTCAGCAAATATTGTCCAGGGCGAATGGGAAGGGAGGAGAACAGTGTCAGAACATATGCAGCAGTTTGCATCTCGACTGCAGGTGTCAGGGGAGATCTTTCAGAAACCTCTAAGTGGGACGCTCAGACCAGGAAGGCTCAGCCCCGTGGCCCCTCCCTCCCTCCCGTGAACCCCAGGCCATTATAGCTCTTTTTGTCCCTCCTTTACTTCAGACTCTTTCGGCTCATTATCACAGTCTTCCCCTGCCAGCTCTCTGCCTGTATTCCCACAGGCTCCTCCTCCGGCACTACACACAACAGCGCAGGCAACGAGGAGGGGCCTTTGCTTTCCTTGGCGGTGCTCCTGAGAGTTTCTTGTTTGCTTCCGCTTGCACTGAAGAGCTCCCCCAAACCTTTCCTAGGGCAGCTGCCCTGTCTTGTGAAGGGCTTTCTGTTTTCACCACTAAAGCGAGATTAGCAGAGGGAAGGTAAGCTTCATTTCCCTTCTTTTCAGCTTTAAATCATATGGTTATTTTGAGAAAGTGGTGCTCTGCTTCTAGCAAGACTCGGTAAAGGCTGTGAGTGCATCCACGACAGGGCCCACAGAGGTTTGAGCCTCCGTCACACGGGAGGCAGTCTGGCAACATGCCTGAAAGCAGGGAAGGGGAAAGGGCTGCTGGGTCTGGAAGGTGAGCAGGAGAGGCCGGTGGCGCTCCAGCGGGCTGATGGGGGCTTGGCGTGAAATCTTTGGTTGTCGCTTCTAGACGGACACCCGAGGATGAGGCCGGGCCCCTCTTCAGACTCCGGCTCTCGTGGGATTCAGGCAATGATCCGCTGCATCACTTCATGGGTCTCATCTGACATTGCAGGTCGCAAAGAAAGCTTTTTGGACATCCGAGGATATAATGTCTACTAAAGCCTGGAGGAAATCCGCATGGACATAAAGGCGCTACAACATCAGTAAAAACAATGGGATAACAGCAAACTGATACTGCACCCTATAGCAGTAGAAAAGAACAAGAGTCCAGTGGCACCTGAAAGACCTTTTCCCTTAAAGGCCTTTTCCTGCCGTTTGTTTTTAAAGGAATACTTTCACCACAGCACAGAACAGAACACTCTCGGTCAGAGCACTCTTGAACATCAACCACCAACTTTGTGAGTCTTCAAGGTGCTCCTGGACTCTTGCTGTTTTCTGCTGCTACAGACAGACTCACACAGTGACCCATCTTGATCTACAGCCTAGAACGGTGTTATCCATAGTTCCCCCTCCCCTGCAAAACACCTTCCTGAACTGCTCTGTTCTCATAGGGCCCTTTTACCCTTAGAAAGGCTCTCCTGAACAACCCTGTTTAAGACAGTTGGCCGAATGACAGGAGCATGGGAGCTCCCCTGACCCCCCCTCAGGCAGGCCACCCCACAGGGTGAGGGCCGCAGCAAAGAAGCGCATGATGCACAGGGTGGGGGGGGGGCTCTTGTTGGTCTTGCCCGTTTGCAGGGTGGCACCTGCAGGAGGCTTAGCGCCCCTCAGCGGATGTTCTTGGCCGGCAGGGGGTGCTGGATGTAGAAGGGGGGGAACAGACAAGTGCCGTGTGTGTGTGCTGCGTACACAAGTCACCCCCTCTTTGGTGTACGTCCCAAAATCTTCCTTGCACCTGTTTCTGTTGCCTGCTTCAGTGAAACATTGTCCCCAGTTTGTGTTGGGACTGATTTTTAAAATGTTGGTCCAGCTGCTACTGTGGGTACACATGCAGTAATGTGTTTCATAAATTCATAAAATAATGGTAAAATAATAATTAATAAAATAATAGTACAATAATAATTCATAAAATAATAGTACCAGGAAAATATTATGGCAAATTTTCTTAACACCCCAATTCAGAAACCAGTGTGCAATATACATTGACAGAAGAAACTTGTAATGTATCCATCTCCGACCACATGCGTGGCTAGGTCACCACGTGGTCATGCGGAGCGGCCAAGCTTCGCTCTCAGGAACAATGGGCCAAGTGGATCCTAGCCCGCACCAATAGGAGGGCTAGGCTCCCGGCCGAGAGCCCATGGAACTCTCGGCCACTATAATGACCAATCGCTTGTGTGTGGGTGTTTTTTGAGTGTGGGATTGTTGCACATATAAACCGGCCTGCGAGCCGGTTAAGGTTGTCTTGTTCTGAGCTGAAATAAAGTATGAGAGCTGAAATCTCTAGTAAGTCTCAGTACTTTTTACTGGCGACAATGATGGGATTCTAACTCCCATAAACAACGACCCGGACTAATATTCGAGCATCGCATCGAGCCCCAGCACTGAGACCGCCGCATGCCGCTCCGCATTGTGTCCTGGTTCTCTGGTAGCCGCTCACCGCACCGCTCCTCACTCCATACCTCGCCCTGCTGACCCCGAGAGCAGCAGCTTCACGCCTCGCTCCAGCCACCGCTGCCTCTGTTCCTGAGCTACCCCCACCACGTGGAAGCAGTATGATGGCTACATTCCAGGAAAGCATTGCCGCCTTCGACATCTCCCGCCCCGCTCGGTGGGAGACCTGGCTCGAGATCCTGGAGAGCTAATTCGACTGCCATGACATCGTAGACTCGGGTAAGAAGAAGGCCCACCTCCTCCGGTCCTGTGGCATAGACACCGTCTTGCTGCTCAAGGACCTACTTGCGCCTAAGCAGACAAAGGGCGAGTCCTATGTGGTGCTGGTGAAAGCACTGTCCGGCCATCTTTCACCAAAGCCCACAAAGTTTGCTGAGTGCATGGACTTCTTTGTGCGGGTCCAGGGGCCAGATGAGCCGGCTTATGAGTTCTTGGCCGGGCTCTGGCGGGTGGCCACCAGGTGCTTGTTTCCCGACCTGGTGGACGCCTTCCTAAACCAGTTCCTCTTGGGTCTCTGGGAACCCAAGCTTCGGAGGAAACTGGTCAGACAGGACAACCTGGACCTAGATAAGGTGCTCCGGGAGGCAGTTCGGGGCTGGGGCAAGTTTACGGTGCAGTTTCAGGACTTCCGTGGACAATTGGACTTGCTGGTGGTTTGGTGGGGAGGCTCTCCAGTCTGCTGGGACTTTCATGGTTCGGGCCCCTGAGATCGACTATCATGGGGGTGAATCAGCTCTGGGCTGAGGACTTTACAGCTGTGTGCAATGAGTTCCCCAGGGTTTTTGATGGCACACTCGGTCGATTCCCCGGGGGCCCCATCTCCCTCGACCTTGACCAGGCTATCCGCCCCATCCGGGTTAAGGCCAGACACCCCCCTATTGCTATGCGGCAGAGGATCGAGGTGGAGCTTGATCGGTTGGTGGAACAAGGAGTGCTGGAGCCAGTCACTTCTGCCTGGTGGGAGACCCCGATAGTAACCCCGGTTAAACCCAACGGGGAAGTGCGCATTTGCACAGACTATAAGTGCACATTAAACAAGGCACTCCAGGACCACGCGTACCCAGTACCAGTGGTCAGCCACATGCTCACAGTTCTGGTGGGGGGCTGGGTTTTCAGAAAGTTAGATCTGGCTCAGACATACCAGCAACTCCCTGTGGATGCCGAAACTGCAGAGGCTGGAACGATTGCCACACACAAGGGGGCTTTTAAAGTTCATCGCCTCCAGTTTGGGGCATCGGTCGCGGCGGGCATCTTTCAATCTTTTATGGACAATTTGTTAAAAGGGATCCCAGAAGTGCAGCCGTTTCTAGACGACGTGCTCATTGCGGCCCCGGACGCCCTGACCTTCGCCGCCCAGCTGTGGACTGTGCTCCAGCGTTTCGACACGGCCAGCCTGAAGGTCAAGTGTGAAAAATGCCTGCTTGGGGTTCCCAAGGTGGAGTTCTTGGGGTTTGCCGTGGACACCCAGGGTATCTATCCCACGGACGAAAAGACCAAGGCCATCATGCTGGCTCCCCCACCCACGTCCAAGACAGAGTTACAGGCTTTCCTGGGCCTGTTAAATTTTTATCATTCATTCCTGCCCCTGAAGGTAGCCGTGGCGGAACCCCTACACCTCCTGCTGGACAAGAACGCCCCTTGGGTCTGGGGGCCAATGCATGCCGCCGTTTTCTAGGCCATGAAGGGCCTCCTGGTTTCTAACTTGGTCCTCTCTCATTTCAATGAAGCTTTGCTGGTGGTCCTTGCATGCGATGCCTCTCCTTACGGGGTTGGGGTGGTCCTTGGCCACCAGTTACCGGATGGACGGGAGCTTATTATTCTCGCACCTTGTCATCTGTGGAGTGTAACTGTGTGCAGACTGACAAGGAGGTGCTTGCTATAGTGGCGGGGGTGAGGAAATGTCACCATTACCTGTATGGTCAGCCATTCATGATCCTGACGGACCATAAACCGCTCCTCGGCCTACTGGCCCCCGACCACCAAACCCCGCAGATGACATCGCCCTGGGTGCTCCGGTGGTCTTTTTTTTTGGCAGGATACTCATATGTGCTTGTCCATTGGCCCGGGAAAGCGATGGGGCATACTGACGCTTTGAGACATCTTCCGCTGCCGTCTACAGATCCGGACCCAATACCAGCTCATCAGGTCATGCTTCTGGAGGCTCTTTCCGATCAACCGGTGGACGTTTGAGAAGTGGCACACTGCACAGCTAAAGACCCAGTCCTTTGCCACTGGGTGAGAAGAGGGTGGCCTATGGCCCCGGGGGGTGGGGTGGACTTTACGGCGTTTGCATCCCACAAGGACGAGCTGTCGGCTCACAAAGGCTGCTTGATGTGGGGCGGCAGGGTGGTAATCCCAACCCCTTTAAGGGTTCTCACAGCGCTCCACGGGACGCATCCAGGGGTGGTCTGGATGAAAGCCTTGGCCAGAAGTTACGTCTGGTAGCCAGGGCTGGATCGGGACTTTGAGGACGGGGTTAAGAGATGTCTGCCCTGCCAAGAATCCCGACCTGAGATTTCCCGGGTTCCCGCTAGGGCCTGGGAGTCCTCACACAAGCCCTGGTCTCGGCTTCACTTGGACTTCGCGGGGCCATTCCATTGTCAACTATTTTTTATACTCGTGGACGTGCACAGCAAGTGGCTCAAGGTCGTTCCGGTACCATCCACGTCCTCAAGAGCAGCCATCTGGGCCATGTGGCACATCTTCAGTGCCCAGGGTATTCCCGACACCCTGGTCACCGACAATGGCACGGCATTCACCTCTAGCGAATTCCAGGACTTCACCCGCTTCTATGGAATTTGCCATGTCAGATTGGCCCTGTTCCACCCAGCAACCAACGGCCAAGCTGAACGCATGGTTTGGACAACCAAGGATGCGCTCCGCCGCTTGGATAGTAAGGACTGGAACTACAAGTTGGCAGCATTCCTTTTTGGCCAGAGAATGACACTCCACACTGCGACGGGACACAGCTCAGCGGAGCTCCTCTTGGGCCGGCGCCTGATGACCAGGCTGGATAGCCTTTATCCCGATCAAGCCCCAGAAGAAGAACCAGCCACGGAGTCACCCGAGGCGGCCCGAGGGTTTTTCCCCGAGGACTCAGTCTATGCCTGGAACTAT